TCTGGCATCAAAACCAGGTCAGTGAGAGGGGGCGAGAGAAAAAGGACTTTCTTTTTCTAAGTGGCAAGGAAAGGAATTGAGCTTATTTTGAGCCTGTTCCGGGCACAGGGCTTCACTCTGTACACGTTCATTCCACAGATACTTATTAAGTACCCACTCTGTGCCCAGCACCATACAAAGCTCTGGGGATCCAACTGTGACCAAGGCAGCCAAGGGTCCTGCCTTCGCTGTGCTGACGTTCCAGTGCGGGTGGTGGGCAGTTAGCGTAAACAAACACACACAGTAACATCGGTGGTGATGGGTGCTTGGGGAAAATGAAGGGTAAGGGTAAGGGGAGGTAGGGTGGGCGTGCTTTGCCTAGGGAGGTTAGGAAGGCTTCTCAAGAAAGGGATGTGAGCAGAAGCTGAAGAGAGTGGGGCGGGGCCCGAGTTTCCACCTGAGGGTGCAGTGTGTACAAGGCCCTGAGGTGGACTGTCCTGCTGTGTCCTGGCAGCTGAGGGAGCCAGGCACTGCTGAAGTGAAGTGCCTTCAGAGAAGCAAAGGGGGATAGTGCAGGCTGCGTAGGGTCCTGGAGCTGCTGTGGGGACTTTGGCTTTTACGCTGCACGGGCGGTGGGTTTGAGCGGAGGAGGGGTGGGAGCTGACTCAAGTGGTCACAGGGCTCCAGACTGCAGGAGGGGCGTGGGCAGAGTGCTGTCTGACTTCTTTCATTCTGTAACGTTCTCTCACTCCTTCTCTGCTGTATTTAGCAACAGTTCAGTCCTTTTCGTTGCTGAGTAGTGTTCTACTGTGGATCTACGTGTTTGTTTATCCATTCTCTCGTGGGTGGACTCCTGGTCTGTTAACCAGTTTGGGGTTACTGTGAGTATTGCCGCTGTCAGCATTCTAGTACAAGTCTTTTATACGTACACTATTTCCTTGAGAGGAATTGCTAGGTCATGGGGTAGGCATATATTGAGCTTTAATTTTGACTGCTTAACAGTTTTCCACAGTGGTTGAACCATTTTGCAACGCCCACCAATAGTGAGTAAGGGTTCTGGTTCCTCTGCATCCTTGCCAGCACCTGGCCTTGTCAGTTTTTAAAATTCGAGCCATCCCAAGTAGGTGGTTGTAATTTGCATTTCCCTGTAACTAATGAGATTATGTGTGTTTCTTGGTTGTGTGGGTGTCCTCTCCTGTGAGGTGCTCTTGCTCTTTTTATCTTGCCTCCCAGGTGGCTTGCCTTTAGTCAGCAGCTGCAGCTCTGGCCCAGGCCCTCAGAAGACTCATGCCCAGGCACCTTAGGAAGTAGTGAGTGGGGTGGGGCCGTGCAGGGACTCCCCTCGGCAGGGCGTGCTGCGAGGGTTCCACAGGCAAGTCTCTGTCCCCCCGCCTGGTGTCCTCCGTCAGCAGCCCCCCAGTGAGCAGGCCATCTTCTTGGCTGCAGTGGCTGGTATTTCATCACCATAGGACTGCGTCACGAACACCTCAGATGAGGCGCCACCCTCAGTAGGAGGACAGGGAACGATCCAGGCGGGATGCAGGGGATCTTCAACTCCTCCCTCTGCTCTCACTCCAGCTATGCTGACTCCTTAGTTGCTGAGATGAGATTGTAAAAAGCAACTCTGTTGATCCCAGCAGCGGCCAGGGCCTCCTCTGCTTCTCAGCTGGGAGACCCAAGGTAAACAGCTTCCCTTCTCTGAGCTTCTGTCTTCACCTGGGCATGGTCACCGACTGTCTGATGGGGTGTTGGGAACATTCAGGAGTGACTCCATGGGAGCACCGGCACCCTGCCCAAGGCCACCCAGCTGGCGGTGGCTCTCAGACTCTGGAACCCTGACCACTCTTGGTCACACCTGTCTGCCTTTGCTTTTCTCTGGAGTAACGGCAGCCGTGCGTTTGGCTGTTCACTGGGCACCATGCAGTAGGCTGAGTCCTGGGCCCACAGTGGGTGCTTTAGTGCTGCCAGTAGCCCCAGTGCTGCTGCATCACAGGGGCCCTAAGAGTCAATGTCCCTGGGCTGCTGTGGGCCAGCGAGCGGGGAGATGGGACATGGAGCCCCGGTTCTATTCCCTCCACATCAGCCCTTCCTTTGGACTCTGAGTTCTCCCTCCCAGCGATGTGGGAAGTATTTTGAACTGAGCTTGCATCAGGGAAGGCGTGGTGTAGGTCCGGGTAGGGGATGGGCTTCTCTCAGTCCCACCCATAGCCCAGAAGGCCCTTGGTGTTCTCCCCTGTCCACCTCTCCCTGACTTTCCGCTCACCAGTCCCCCTCCTGCCTCAGGTCCTTGCATTTTGTGTTCCCCTGCTGAAATGCATTTCCTCATGTGTCTACACAGCTCACTCCCTCAGTTAACTCGGGTGTCTGCTCACAAGTCCCCCACACCAAGCTAACATCCTGTTCTTCCCACTCTCCAGCCTCCCTATCACCTGATGGTTTGTGTCTCTGTGTATTTTTCTGCCCCTCCCACCAGACTGTGAGCCTCAGGAAGGCAGGGCTGTGTCTTAGTGACATTCTATTGCTGGTACCATCTGGAGCCTAGGATGCACCCCAGAAAAGATTGGTGTCGTGAAGAGAGTCTGGTAGTGTGTCCCTGGCTGTGTCTGTTCCCGGGGTGGGGATCCGTTGTGGGCACTTGGCCTCTTTCTTCCTGTGCTCATTAGATGTCAGATGCTTTGCTGGTCCACTGCCTTAGCGTTTATGGGTGTTGGGAGGGTTGCTTTGAGGGTGCACAAAGTGCACACAGTGCAGCCTCTGAGGTGGGGAAGCCTTCCTGGAGGAGGCACTGGTTTAGCTGAGACCTCAAGGAAGAGGGAGAAGAATGCCCAGAAGGAGGCCCTGTCTCTGATGGAGGCCAGAGGGAAGTGCTTGAGTGACAGAAGCGTAACGCGGAGAGTGGGGTAGGGCGGAGAGGCTGGAGAGGTCAACGTCATGGTCCTCAGCCTTTCCCGAGGGCTTTCTAGGTGCACGTCTCAGCTCATGCACCTGGAACGCAGGGCAGCAGAGGCCAGGTCCTGAAGGGTCTTGGATCCTCAGCTGAGGAGTTTGGCTGTTTTGCTCGTCACACCAGGGAGCCACAAAGGGTTTTGAGCAGGAGAAAGACAGGTTCAGCGTTGAGGATCCCTCTAGCTGCTGAATGTGGGGTGAGTGGGAAGGGAGCAAGAGTGGAGCGTAGGAACTCGGGGAACAGGTGGGGGCAGACCCGACTAGAGCCAGGCCGCCGGCAGGATGGGGAGAGGTGGTCATGTTAGAGGTTGACACACAGAACAGTGAGAGATATAGAAATACGTACATACTTATGTTTTTTGAGACAGGGTCTCATTCTGTCACCCAGGCTGGAGTGAAGTGGTGCGATCAAGGCTCACTGCAGCTTTGACCTCCTGGGCTCGAGTGATCCTCCTGCCTCAGCATCTCGAGTAGCTGACATTTCAGGTGCACACCGCCATGCCTGGCTAATTTTTTAATTTTTAATTTTTTTGTAGAAAAAATTACATAGTGAGACAGGTTCTCACTACGTTGCCCAGGCAGATCTCAAACTCCTGGGCTCAAGGGATTCTCCTGCCTTCCTCCCGAAGTGTTGGGATTATAGGCGTGAGCCACTGTGCCCAGCTGAGATGTGGGGATGTTGAGGATGGAGAGTCTGGCAGTCCTGTGTGTTGGGGTTGCGGGGTGCCGGGCATGTTGCTGGCGAAGGGAGCCCCTTATTGCTGCTCCCAGCCTCACATCATTGCCTTTGCAGCTTGGAGCCCAGAATGTGATTTCTCACCCTCCTGTTTACTTCCCTGTCATTGTCCATCTTGTCTTTCCTCCTGCTTCCTCCCACTTACCTCCCTTCCTTCTGCCTGGGGCCTGGGCAGCCTGCCACTGTCACATGCCAGGCAGTAGCGTGTCCGGCCCACCAGCTCCCCTGGGGCACGAGAGAAAGCTGATGCCCACGGTGTCCCTAGAGCCAGCTGCCACTTCTCTGGGGGCCACCGTAGCTCCCGACCTGCTGTCCGCAAATAACCCCAGGCTGGGAAAGGCAAAGGCGCCTTGGTCTCTGTGGACCCTGGCCAGGCCCCAGGCTCCAGGTAGGGGCCCAGCTGGCGCTGCCTTGCGCCCTCCTCCCCTCTGCTCCGGGAACCTGAGACGAAGCAGTGGCCTCGGCGTCCCTCAGTCTGTCGGTTGCTGGTCCCTGAGGACAGAAGTGGAGGTCTTGGGGTAAGGACCAGGGCCTTGGTCAAGTCCCCGGGACTGGCTTCTAGGCCCCAGACCGTGCATACGCAGTAGGTTGCTTTCTTGTTCAAGATCTTGGGCTGTCTGAGAGCTGCCTTTACTCTATCATCTGACTGGGGGAGGCAGGCCGCTGAGGCTTGGGGAGTGGCGTGGGATGGCATGGGGGGACGGGAGTGTGCTTAGTTTGTTGAAGGTGGCGGGTTGGTGGCTTCCTGGTTTGGAAAGAAGGGAGGGGGAGGAGAGAGAGAAAAGAGTGCGTGTGTGTGTGTGTGTGTGTGTAAGATGGGGGGACAGGCAAATGCTGGTGGTTCTGTGTGCGCGTGCGCGCACGTGTGTGTGTGTGTGTGTGTGTGTGTGTGTGTAAGATGGTGAGGGGACAGGCAGATGCTTGTGGCTTTGCGCACTCCCTCAGGTGACCTGGGCTGTCTGATTCATATTGGGTTACCTCAGTGTTAGGCCATAGGAGTGACACGGGTGGCAGGGCACGGCTACCTCGATGCTCGCTCAGTCAGGAGTGACTGTGGGTGGAGGGGCCACCTCCCCCCAGCATGAGTGTCCTGAGTTCGGGGTCTGGCCTGCGCTTAGGCCAGGGAGCTCTGCTTCCCCAGATTGGGGTCTCTGGGGACATGGCGACATCTCTCTGCTCAGAATGGATCCCTGAGAGCAGGGCTCCACGCCACCCTTGCTGGCCTTACCCTTTGCCGAGTGGGCAGAGCAGCCAGAGGGCCTCAGAGCTCGGTGTCCTCAGGGAAGGGGCTGGTGTGGAATCCCCTCCCACCCTGACCAGCTCCTCTCTTGTCTTGCAGACTGTGCCCTGTCCACGGCTCCTCCTGCATGTCTTGCTGCCTTGAGCTGTCCCGAGCTAGGTGACAGCGTGCCACGCTGCCACCATGAACGAGGTGTCTGTCATCAAAGAAGGCTGGCTCCACAAGCGCGGTAAGAGGCCGCTTTTGCCCGCCAGATTGCTTCCTTCTCCCACGCTGGCTCCTCGTGGAAGCTGTGCCCCGAGAGGCAGAGGCAGAGGGTCTTACCAGCCTGAGGAGCCAGCATTCCGCAGCCCCAGACCCACAGCTGCTTATGCCCCTGTTTCATGGACTCCTTCAGCGGTCACCTGGGCAGGAGAGTGGGGATCTGCCTGTGCATGAGTGAGCTCATTCATAGCCCCATTTTATAGATGAAGAAACTGAGGGCCAGAGAGGGGAAGTCACGTCACTGAAGTAACACAGTGAGGCAGTATTCAGCATTCATTCAGTTAGCAAGTATTCATTGACTGTGTGCTGTGCCAGGTAGCCCTGGGCTCCAGGACACAGTGGTCCTCTGATGGAGCTTACGTTCCAGTGGGGGTGGGGCAGACAGTCAATAAGTAGACATGGAATGTTGAGGTGGCGAGTGCTGGGGTGAAAAGTGGGAACTGTGAGTGAGGGCAGTGGGCTGGGGGCGGGGGGGCATGGAGAGGCTGCCCTGAGGAAAGGGCGGTGATCAGAGGCCTGGAGCCTGGAGGAGGTGAGGCACTGGCTGGGCAAGGGTGTCCCAGGGAGAGGGACAGCAAGGACGGAGGCTCCCAGGTGGGGATGTGCCTGGTGTTTTCTGGTAACAGCGTGGCTGGAGCAGTGTGAGCAAGGGCGAGCTGGGGGAGGCAAGCAGGGGAGCAACACAGGGTCCAGCCATGTCACGCCTGCAGTCCATGGAAAAGGACCTTGGCTTTGGCACTCCAGACAAGAGCAACCCTGTGATGTCGTGAGCCGATGCATGATCTAATCCATTTGTACTAGTGGGAAGCTGAGGTCCCCTTTTAGTGAAGTTAGGACAGGAAAGAGACCCTTTTTGATTCCAGGGCTGTTTGTCCCCAGGTGGCTGCCAAGCAAGACTGGGAGGCAGATGGGGAGAAGTGCCACGTGCTGAGAGACGACTTTGTCCCGGCCCAGCTTCCATGGGCCTACCCCTGGGAGGAAGGGCCCCAGGTGTGGGTGTGGCTGCCCTGTGAGCACTTGCATTCATTCAGCAAACACAAGCTGAGCAGCGCCTGTGGGCCAGGCACCGTTCTAGGTTCCGGGGTCCAGCAGTGAGCCAAACAGGCAAACAGCCCATCCTCGTGTTGGTATCTTGGGCGCTGATGGGGAGGCAGACAGCTCACAGGCAGACAAGCGTGTCACACAGTGGCGCGAGCCATGGTGGAAAAACAAGCAACGTGAGGATGGGAGGGCCTGAGGCAGACAGGGTGGCCAGAGGAGGCTTCGCTGAGAAGGGGGCATCTGAATAAAGGCCTGAAGGAAGTCGGGGAGTGAGCCTTACAGTTATGCCAGAGGCGACAGCCAGTGAGTCCTGAGTAAGTGATCTTGTTCAGAGAGGAGCAGGAGGCTGACGGTGCTGACGCCACGGGCATCGGGAAGAGCCGTGCGTCCTGCACTGTACCAGCCTGCAGACAGGCAGCAGCGGTGAGGGATGGAGGCCCCTCCCTGGGAGCAGTCTCCGCACCTGACTGAGCAGAGGAGATTGGTCTCCTGCTGCTCTTTCTGGACAGAGATGGCTTTCAAGGTCCCTTGGCCTAGTCCCCCAGCCTGAGCCTGGGGTTTGGGGTTGTCGATGGAGCTTCCTGAGCCTTGGCAGCTATCAAGGTTCTAACCTTGGTTCGCTGCTTCCTCTTGGTGTAACTGTGGGCAAGCCATGTCACCTCACTGAGCCTTGGTTTCACATCCGTAAAGTGGGTTAACGAGCCAGACCTCTGATGTCATCAGCTCTACGAGGGTAGACATTTTCATGGGGCTTCTTCACAGTGGTATCCCCAGCACGTCTAAAAATGGTGGGCGTATAGTAGGCACTCAGTAAATGGTTGAATGACTGTTTGGCATGGTGTGTGGGTGGTATGCTAGTACACAGGGTCGTGGGCTCCTGTCCTGTGGCCTGCGCGTGCGCAGGCTGTGGCTCACTAGGCTGGACTGTGAGAGCCTTGGGATGGGTGCGGAACTGTCGGAGGGGCAGGGGTTACTGATGGCATTACATGAGTCTTGGCCTCTCTTGGGTCTTCAGTGTCCGCATTCATGTTACAAGGGGCCAGATGACCCAGCCACAGGCCTGCTCTGTCATCTGGGATGGCCTAACTCTGACATACCTGTCTCAGGTTTGTACCCTACACACACGCATGTGCACACCTGCACTCTTTGGCCTTTTCAGTGCCAGCTGGCAGAGGTGGGCAAGGTGAGGTGGGCCCTGGGGTGTCCAGCCTTGGGGTGATATATTCTATATTTAACTTTTTGAAGAAGGAGCTGCACCATTTTATATTCCCACCAGCAGTCCATGAGGGTGTCAGTTTATATCCTTGCCAACACATGTTTTTTTTCATTACGGCCATCCTTGGGCATGTAAAGTTGTACCTCATTGTGTGTGTGTGTGTGTGTGTGTGTGTGTGTGTGTTTTCTTTTTTCGAGACAGAGTCTTGCTCTGTCTTCCAGGCTGGAGTGCAGTGGCGCGATCTCAGCTCACTGTAACCTCCGCCTCCTGGGTTCAAACGATTCTCAGGCCGCAGCCTCCCAAGCACTGGGACTACAGGTGTGCACCACCATGCCCGGCTAACTTTTGTATTTTCAGTAGAGATGGGATTTGACCGTGTTGACCAGGCTGGTCTTGAACTGTTGGCCTCAAGTGATCTGCCTGCCTCGACCTCCCTGAGTGCTGGGATTACAGGTGTAAGCCACGGCGCCTGGCCTTCATTGTGATTTTGATTTATGTTTGCCGGATGACTAATGATGCTGAACATCTTTTCATCTTTCCGTTGACCATTTGTGTATCTTTGGAGGAATGTCTATTTGAGTCCTTTGCTCATTTTAAAATCAGGCTGTTTGTCTTTTTGTTGTTGGCATTGTAAGAGTTCTTTATGTATTCTGGTTAATAGACCCTTATTAGATTTCCAAGTATTTCCACCCCTTCTGTAGGATATCTTTTTACTTTCCTGAAATTCCTGACAGTGCCCTTTCATGCACAAAGGTTTTTAATTTTGATGAGTTCACTTTAAGTTTTTCTTTTGTTGCTTGTGCATTTGGTGTCATCTAAGAATTCATTGCCAAATTTAAAGTAATGAGATTTGCTCATAAGTATTCTTAGATGTTTTTTGTAGTTTTAGCTCTTAGATTCAGGTCAATTCGTTTTGAGTTTATTTTTGTGTATGGTTTGTAGTAGAGGTCCAACTCCATTCTTCTGAATGTGGATATCCAGTTGCTTCAGTTTCTTCATCTGCAGAATAGGGATAAGATTGTGAGGATAGGCTACTCTGGGCACATTGCCTATGGGTCACTGTTCCCTGCTCCGCAAGGAACAGTATTTAAATTAACAAAAAATATTATAAGGATATTTTTTCTTCTAGGTTTCTTTTCTTTCATTTTGAAAAAATATAGTCTCTTTGTTGAAGAAACTATTCTTTTCTTCAGATATTTGGCTTTATTTTTTGGTTCTGAATTCTCTTCCATTGGTCTGTATGGCTGTCCTTATACTGCACTGTTTTGATTACTGTAGCTTTGTATAGTAAATTTGAAATTGGAAAGTATTTAACTTTATTCTTCTTTTTCAGTATTATTTTGGCTCTTTGAGGCCTTTTGAAATTCCATGTGAATGTGAGGATTGACTTTTCTATTTCTGAAAAAAGAAAAAGCCTGTTGGAATTTTGATAGGGTTGGCATTGAATCTATATATTTCTTTGGGTAGTATTGCCATCTTAACAATATTGTCTTCTCATCCATGAACATAGGATATCTTTACATTTATGTAGATCTCTAATTTCTTTTTTTTTTTTTTTTTTTGAGACGGAGTCTTGCTCTGTGTCCCAGGCTGGAGTGCAGTGGCGTGATCTCAGCTCACTGCAAGCTCTGCCCCCCCGGGTTCACGCCATTCTCCTGCCTCAGCCTCCCGAGTAGCTGGGACTATAGGCACCCGCCACCTCGCCCGGCTAATTTTCTTGTATTTTTAGTAGAGACGGGGTTTCACCGTGTTAGCCAGGGTGGTCTCGATCTCCTGACCTCGTGATCCGCCCGCCTCGGTCTAATTTCTTTAAACAGTGTTTTTTAGTATACAAGCCCTTCACCACCTTGGTTAAGTATTTTTTTGGAGGCTTTTGTAAATTATTATTATTTTTTTTTTAAGAGCTAGGGTCTTGCTCTGTCACCAGGTTGGACTGCAGTGGCACCATCATGGCTTGAGTTTCTTGGGCTCAGGTGATTCTCCCATTTCAGCCTCCTGAGTAGCTGGGACTTCAGGCACATGCCACCACTCCTGGGTAACTAAAAGAAATTTTTTGTGGAGACTGGATCTCACTATGTTGCCCAGGCTGGTCTCAAACTCCAGACTTAAGCCTGCCTCAGCCTCCCAAAGTACTAGGATTTTACAGGTGGGAGCCACTGTGCTGGCCTTTAATAGCAATGTTGAGGTAAAATTGATGCACTACATTATTCATCTATTTAAAGTATACAGTTCAGTGGCTTTTAGTGTATTCAGAGTTGTGCATCTGTCACCATAGTCAGTTTGCTTTTGTTTTTGTTTTTGTTTTTTTTGAGACGGAGTTTCGCTCTTGTTGCCCAGGCTGGAGTGCAACGGTGCGATCTCGGCTGACTGCAACTTCCGCCTCCCGGGTTCAAGGAGTCTCTGCCTCAGACTCACAAGTAGCTGGGATTACAGGCATGCACCACCATGCCTAGCTAATTTTGTATTTTTAGTAGAGACGGGGTTTCTCCATGTTCGTCAGGCTGGTCTTGAACTCCCGACCTCAGGTGATCCACCTGCCTCGGCCTCCCAAAGTGCTGGGATTTCAGGTGTGAGCCACCACGCCAGGCCCTACTTTTCATCTCTATAGGTTTGCCTATTCTTGACATTTTGTATAAATGGAATCATAATGATATGTGGTCCCTTTGTGACTGGCTTTTTTCCCTTAGCGTGAGTTATGGTCCTTCCACATGGCAGCACGTCTCAGTACTTCATTTCTTTTTATGACAGAATGGTTTTCCGTTGTATGGATCTGCCACATTTTGTTTATCCATTCGTTGTTGTGGACATTAGGGTTGTTTCCACTTGATGGCTTTTATGAATAACGCTGTTGCGGACATTTGTGTGTAAGGTTTTGTGTTTCACCATCTCCTTTTAATCCTTAGCAGCTCTCTAAGGAGTGGGTTCGTGTGTGTGTGTGTGTGTGTGTGTGTAGGGTGCTTGGATATTCGTGGTGAAGAACAGTTGGAAGGAGTCAAGGGGTGCTGGGAGGGTGTGGCAGCAGTGCCACCCCCCCGGCACAGAGGTGTTTTGGCATTTGATCTACCTGCACAGCTTTATTGGTGAGTCCCAGTCTGTGGGATTTGGCCTTACAGGGCCACAGGGCAAGTGTGTTTGGAAGCCTGGGCCTCCCCTGGGACTAGGCCAGGAGCTGGCACAGACAGCTTGCTCCTGCAACTGCCAGGAGGCAACTGGTGCCCCAGGGCACTGCCGTTGGCACCTTCCTGCCAGGCATGGCCTGTGGATCACCCGGGCTCAGCCCAGCGCCCCAGCCTGCGTCAGCAGGGGCCACCTGGAGGGCTCCTCCGGGAGAGGCATTCTCATGTGTCCCCCGCACCCCCCCCGCCCCGTGGTACCCCTTGTGAGTCACCATCACACTGGGCCTCCTGCCATCCACCTGGGACATCGCTCAACCTTGTCCTAACCTCTCTCCCTCCCCTCCTGCCTCATTTCAGGTGAATACATCAAGACCTGGAGGCCACGGTACTTCCTGCTGAAGAGCGACGGCTCCTTCATTGGGTACAAGGAGAGGCCCGAGGCCCCTGATCAGACCCTTCCCCCCTTAAACAACTTCTCTGTAGCAGGTATGTCTTGGGATGAGTGAGTGGGTCAGTGTTCTGGTGCTTGCAGAATGGCTGGCAGGTCTTAGGGGCTCGTGGAACTTGGTCATTGAGCCTTGGGCCTCTCCTGGGCCTGCCTGCCCTTGGATCCACTTTCGCCCTTCCCCTGCTCTCCCTCCTTGTTAGCTGGCCAGGTGGGGCTGTCCTGCGGGGAGATGCAGAGTGGGAGGGAGGGAGAAGCCAGGGCACTTGCCCACACCCAGCCCCATGTGTCGCCTCCTTGTGGTGCTAGCTTCTGTCGGCCAGGCCTTGGGGTCCCCAGCTGGTGGCAGGTGCCTCCCATCCTGCGCTTTGGTAACAGCCTCCATCTTCTGTCCCTCGGACGTAGAGGGGTCTCAGCTTCCCACTCAGCCCGTCACAGGGCTGGCCTCGCAACATCTGTCCCTCCGTGATACCCAAAGGGATGCCTTCCAACCAGACCCTGGCAGTGAAGTTTCACAAGCCCCAAGCCCTTGACTGAGCCTTGGAGAATACAGTCCTGTCGACACCCCTGCCCCTTTCCTCCTCCTTCCTTCCTTGCTGACCTGATGGGTCACCATGTCCTGTTGTTCTGCTTGTTAAGAACATTACAGAGGCACCCCCATCTCCACCGCCAGGGCCTTAGCTCAGACCACCGTCCTCTCCTGCCATGCTCTGGAACCCAGCATCCGTCCCATGCTGCTCTGCGTGAAGCCTTTTCCTGGTTGCTTTCCACGTGTGCTGGTGACCCTGACACATCTGTTCCAGCCTCAGTGTCTCGCTAGAACTCACAGCCTGTCCCAGGCTGCTCCTTGGACACGTCTCCCCGAGTGTCTTCTAGGTCCCTCATACCTGCCACATCCCAACCTGACCGTCAGGCCTCTCCCAGCTTTCTATTCCTGTCTCTGTCTCATGGACAGCAGGCCAAGAGGCCTGGGCCTGGTCCTCAGTGCCCTCTCCCCATGGCCTGTCTGCAGGGCTCCACTTTGGTGTGGCCCCACCCTCCCTAGCTGGCTCCCCACCTCCCTGGCCTTCTGACCTTCAGTCTCACCCTCTACATGGCAACCAGAGGGATCAGTCTCAATCTGTTTGTGTCCCTACCCTATCTGAAGCCTTCTGTGGCTCCCTGCTGCCCAGAGGACAAAGTCCAGATTCTTTCCCATGGCCTCCAAGGCCCTGCCTGGCTGGCCCCAGCGCACCTCTCCAGGCCTGTCTCTCACTTACCCCTCCTTACCCTTGGAGCAGAATTGGCCACCCGCTGAGGTTGTTGAACCTCCTCTCACCTCTGGGCGTCTGTTCTCCATGTACCCTCTAAGTTCCCTTTTCCTTCAGGGCTTAGTTCAGAGAAGCTGCTTCCTCTGGGAAGTCCCCCCATCCCCCAGGCTGGGTTGGATGCTCCCTCTTAGCTTCTGCACACCTCTGGGCTTGTCCCCATCGCGGCCCTGTCTATGGAGCCATCACTCTCTGGTGGGCTCCTCTCCTTCCACACACGCACTAGACCCTGAGCCCCGTGAGAGCAGGGCCAGGGCTGTCTCAGTCCCTAGAGTGTCCCCAGCACCATCTGGCATGGGGCTGGGCCTGCGGGAGGTGGCTCGGGCACTTTGGGCTGCAGGCTGGCAGGGCTGTCCCCTCAGCCCCCTGCTGTCTACTCCCTCTGCCTGCAGAATGCCAGCTGATGAAGACCGAGAGGCCGCGGCCCAACACCTTCGTCATACGCTGCCTGCAGTGGACCACAGTCATCGAGAGGACCTTCCATGTGGATTCTCCAGACGAGAGGTGAGTCTGGGCCTCTGTGTGGCTACCCTTGAGAGGGACCAAGCCTGGTGTGAGGAGGAAAGGTACAGATGGAGATTTTCCCTGGGACCCTACATAGGGGTTTCCAGTCTGCAATTCTGGTGGGGGGGGGGGGTCTCCCCAGCTGGGGCTGTGAAGAGCTGGGGTTCTTAGTCTGAAGACCCTACTCTGCCCTTAGACTTGCGGGTGCATTGGAATCACAGGCAGAGCTCATGAAGAGTCCAGACCGCTGGGCCTCGCTTCAAGACCTGTGACTACTTGGAGATCTGCCCAGGGTCAGGGAACTACATTATTTTTTTTTTTTGAAATGGAGTTTCACTCTTGTTGCCCAGGCTGGAATGCAGTGGCCTGATCTCGGCTTACTGCAACCTCCACCTCCCAGGTTCAAGCGATTCTCCTGCCTCAACCTCCCGAGTAGCTAGGATTACAGGCATGCACCACTATGCCCAGCTTAGTTTTTGTATTTTTAGTAGAAAAAGGGCTTCTCCATGTTAGCCAGGCTGGTCTCAAACTCCTGACCTCAGGTGATCCACCTGCCTTGGCCTACCAAAGTGCTGGGATTACGGGTGCGAGCCACCATACCTGACCTTCTTTTTTTATTTTTATTTTTCAAGACGGAGTCTTGCTCTGTTGCCTAGGCTGGAGTGCAGTGGCACCATCTCAGCTCACTGCAACCTCCGCCTCCCAGGTTCAAGTGATTCTTCTGCCTCAGCCTCCCGAGTATCTCGGATTACAGGCACATACCACCACACCTGGCTAATTTTTGTATTTTTAGTAGAGATGGGATTTTGCCATGTTAGCCAGACTGGTCTCAAACTTCTGGCCTCAAGTTATCTGCCTGCCTCGGCCTCCAAAGTGCTGAGATTACAGACGTGAGCTATCCTGCCTGGCAGGAACTACGTTCTTAATGAGCATCTCTATTGATTTTGAGGCAGGTGGTCCAGAGAGTCATTTTAAAAAGATCAATTTAGTAATCAGAAGAGATGATAAAGACTCATCTATTTCAAAACTGAAACAGTGTAAGGTGGAGCTTCCCCCACCCTGCCCTTTCCGTCCACCTCCCCCCCCCCAAGTTAATCACTGTTCTTAGGTGCCCTCAAAGAGCAGAGGGAGACCTTTGTGCCCTGCTGCCTTTTGTTGTGTTTTTTTTTAATACAAAAGGTCGCATTGTACATGCTTCTGGACTTGCTTTTCCCTTAGTGTACCTTGGAGAATTTGCCTTGATATATGGAGAGATGCGCCTGCTTTGTTTCATGTTTTGCTTTCCCTTTTTTTTGGACAATTGGATATGCGTGTCCCAAGTGTGTTTATTTAGCTGTTCTTTATTGTGATGATGGGGGTTGCTTCCGGCTTTTGGCTCATTATAAGCAATGCTGCAGTGAAGTAGCCATGTCTGTCTTGTTCGATGTGTGCACAGTAGACCTGTGTGACTGACGAGTGCTTAGATGCAGGATTGCCGAGTCACTGGGCAATGAGTTTTTAGTTTTGCGATGTTTCCATTAGGCGATGTCTGAGAGTGCCCCCGTGGCCTTGTGTTTTCACACATTTGGATTTGTACCAGTCTGAACAGTGGAAAAATTCAGCACCTTGGGGTGTTTAACTTTCCTTTCTTTCTCTGTGGATGAGTTTGACCCTCAAGGGCCATGTGAGTTTCCTATTCTGAACTGTCTATATTGTCTATTTTTCTGTTGGATAGTTGGTCTTTTTCTTATTTATGTATTAGCTCTTTATATATTAAGGAGCTTAGTCCTTTGTAATCAGTGGGAAATGTTTCTTTTTCCCACTTTGTCCTTTTGGACCTCACTTTGAGAAACAGTCTTCTAGCTTATCTGTGGGGTAAGGTTTCAGCAGACCTTCTGGAGAGCCCTAAAATAGTGCCGTCCAAGAACACTTCCGGCCATTGTGGAAATGCCCTGTGTCTGCACTGTCCAGTAGGCACCTTTGCCGATTGCCTGTGCCAATTCCCTGTGCTGACTGCTTGTGCCGATTGAGCATTTGAAATACAGCCACCAAGGAATGGATTTCTTTAGTTTATTTTAATTGATTTAAATAGCCACATATGGCTAGTGGCTACCTTCTTGGACAGTACAGCTCAGGAGCCTACAGTATCATGAGACTTGTTACTATAATCTATACTATAATTATCGTTGCATATCCTCCCAAGGTAAAAAATATACTTGCCCCACTGAGGGGAACAAAATTACCATTTCAAGCCAGCTGAGGTGCTACTCAGTTGAAAACTATGGACCAAAACATGAATGGCCAATAAAAACAGATCAAAACCAGTAGGTATATAGGTCCTGGGTGTTGGGGGCTGGGTTTTGAAGACTGGATAGGAGTTGGCCACAGAGATAGCAAGGAAAAAAGTTCAGAAGGGACAGCATATGCAAAGGCCTGGAGGTGAAATAGCTCATGCATCCCAGCCACCACAGGGGGTTCTGTGTCACTAGGGAACCAAGGGGCCAGGAGTGTTGGAAGAGGGGAAGTGGAGTTCCCCTCATAGGAAACTCAAACTCACAGCTCAGCCAAGGCCTTGGACTCCAGTTGGAGATCCCCACAGGGCTTGGCAGGTGCTTAATAAATTGGGATTTGTCCCAGGGTTGTTACACGATGCAGGGGGATGATAAACAGGAACGGCTGATGCAGCAGTACCTGGCATAGTTTGCCAGCCTGGAATGGGAGCGGGAAGCCAGCAAAGTGTTTTAGTAGGCAGGAGAGATGGTCTTGTTTCCATTTTCACAAGACAACATGCCGTTTCCTTTACCCAGATTCTGTAGGCTGGAGAGCCCCACCTGCCTTTTCTTCTTGGTACCTGCTGCTGTTGCCAAAGAGAAAACTGCTGGAACGACTAAGAGACCAGGTCCCAGATTTCTGACCTTAACTATGGATAGGTGGAGGGGGTGAGCCAGAAACCCAGCAAGAGGGAGGCCACCTCCACTCTGCTCCTGGCTGACTGATGCTGTCCTCACAGCTCTGGCCCACATAGGCTGATGTCAGCTGGCCTCTCTTAAGCCTGGGGAGGGAGGCAGGGGTCGCAGGGTAGGTGGGTGCCGGTTGGTGACTGCTCGTTGGCGAGGTGCTGCAGCACCTCCTCACTGGGCTCCTGGTTGCCTCTCCAGCTTGAGAGACCCTCCTTCCTGTCCCCTACTTCACTGCAGACATGTTTCACTTGGAGAAAAGTTGAAAGAATAGTATAATGAATGGACGTCCAGGTGCCCCACTCCTAGACTCTGCAGGCCCACATTCACCGTGTCTGCCTCATCTGGGTGTGTTTTATGCTGAACTTGAACTTGTGTTCTTACTTAGTGACACTTCTTAGTGTTTCAGTAGGCATCTCCTAAGAATAAGGACTTTCTCCTACAGAATCATGATGCTGTCACGCCTGAGATGATTATAATTTTTGTTTACTAGTAACTTCTCCTTATCCATGCCATACTTGAATTTCTTTAGTTACCTTTTGAAGGATATGCAACCTTTAGAACATTGTTTTTCAAACCAGGATTCATTCAAGGTACGTGTCTCTTTGACTTGTTTTATTTAATCTAGTCCAGCCCTTTGTCTTTTTTTTTTCCTCCCCAAGACATTGATTATTTATTTATTTATTATTTTTTTTAACAAGCCAGGCTAGTTGTCTTGTAGAATGTCACACCTTCTGGGTGTGTCATATTATTGCCTTTTGGTGTTGTTTACTTTTGTTCCCCATGTCTGTATTTCTTGTAAACTGGAATTAGGCCTGAAACAGGGTTGACAAACTAGGGCCCTGCGTTCCATTTTTGTAAATAAAGTTTTATTGGAACATGACCATGTCCATTTGTTCATGAATAGTCTGACTGCTTTTGGCTTACTATGGCTGAGTTAAGTAGTTGTGACAAAGACCGGCTTGCAAAGCCTAAAAAATTTAAATAATTGGCCCTTTTAAATTTTTAATTAAAATTTTTTAAATTTAAAACATTTTTTTCAATTGAGACAAGTTCTTGCTCTGTTGCCCAGGCTGGAGTGCATTGGTGCAATCATAGCTCACTGCAGCCTCAAACTCCTGGGCTTAACCCATCCTTATGCCTCAGGATCCTGAGTAGCTGGGACTACAGGTGCGCACCACCATGCCTGGCTAATTTTTAAATTTTTTTGTGGAAACAGAGTCTTACTGTGTTGTCCAGGCTGGTCTCAAACTCCTGGTCTCAAGCAATCCTCCCTCCTCGACCTCCCAAAGTGCTGGGATTATAGGCACAAACCACCACACCCCGCTTTCTAGTCCTTGATGGAAAAAGTTTGCAGACCCCTGGTCTTGGCAGGCAAGAATACTTAATAGTGCATCAGATGAGTATGATCCTTCTGTTGTTGTTGTTGTGACAGGGTCTGTGTTGCCCAGGCTGCGGTGCAGTGGCAGAATCACGACTCACCACAGCCTCAATCTCCCGGATTTAGGTGATCCTCCCACCCCAGCCTCGCTAGTAGCTAGAACTACAGGCGCCTGCCACCACACCAGGCTAATGTTTGTGTTTTTTGTAGAGACAGGGTTTCACCATGTTGCCCAGGCTGGTCTTGAACTCTGGGCTCAAGTGATCCGCCCATCTTAACCTCCCAGAGTGCTAAGATTACAGCCATGAGCCACTGTGCCTGGCTATGTGTGATCTTTTTGATATAAGTCTTTTTTTTTTTTTTTTTTTTTCTTCAAGACAAGAGTTTCACTCTTGTTGCCCAGGCTGGAGTACAATGGCGTGATCTTGGCTCACTGCAACATCTTCCTCCTGGGTTCAAGTGATTCTCATGCCTCAGCCTCCCTAGTAGCTGGGATGACAGGCACACGCCACCATGACCAGCTCATTTTTTATTTTTAGTAGAGACGGGTTTCTCCATGTTGGTCAGGCTGGTTTCAAACTCCTGACTTCAGGTGATCCGCCTGCCTCGGCCTCCCAAAATGCTGGCATTACAAGTGTGAGCCACCGTGCCTGGCCTTGATGTAAATCTTATGTATTTTCTCT